GGAAGTTTGAATGCAAGGTAGAGGTTAAGTAAGGAACTGCTTATGAGGTTTTCTGTCCATTCCAACAACTAAGAAATAGTGAGAAGAGTTGGGATCTCAGAAGGCTTTTAGGACCAATTAGTAGGCTCTGTGTCCAGGAGAAAACGAATATACTTACCAGTAATGTTAATGGTCACCCACAGCTCTTCTAGGAGGGTCTAAATCATTGAAGCATCCTCTTTTGTTTCCAGCTGGAAGCTGGGGCCTGTCAGTACTGTCTGCCACGAGGACCTGATGTGGGCCACCTTGGCCAGGTGTCCTTCAGAGCCACACTTAAAGCAAGTGAGTGGGAGCTTCCTCTCTACTCCCTTGCCTATCTGTGGCTCTCATCTGTGACACTGTCTACTGAGCTGGCCCAGCTTTCCACAGTGAAAGCAATTCTGACCTCCTTTATTACCTTTGGGTGGCATTGTCATCACTGTTTTGAAGGAGTCATTTAATAAGGACAACTCACCCTGCCTTTAGTACTTCCTTTCTGGTCCTGTGGCAAAATTAGTTGAGATGAGGGGCGAGCACTTGTTTTTTTCTCTCTAGTTCTTGAGCTAAGTTCTCTGGTGTGAATGGCTGTGGTTTTCTGGTTGCCACCCTCTCTCCTGATTTCTGTTGTCCTCCTTGGTCTGTGGAGTGGGGCAGCCAGATTCTCTGACTCTCTTCACCACTCTGAAGGAAGGATTTATATCGCTGAAACTTCTGCTCCAGGACCACATTCTGGTAGTTCTCACTGCCTAGAGCCTTTGAATTAAGAGTATAAGGCTGGCACAGCAGGATAATGTCCCAGATGAAAGCAATGCCTTGGCTGGATCCTGAATGTTGGTGTTAGCCTTCCCTTGCAGCTACGCAGGGTCCAAAGGGTCCACAACTCAAGTGCTGGCTCTGAGAGGGGCCAGTGGTGGAGAGGTGTGTTCTGGAAGGAAATGGTGTTAACTGTAATGATGGCCTGTGGATTAGTAGCCTTTTCAGCCAGGCAACTGTTGCAGCTACATGGGGTCCAAACGGTCCGCAAGTGCTGGCTCTGGGCCAAACTGTGATAGTCACCCAACCAGAACCAAACCAGGAATTGCTGGCAGAACTACCTGGATTTCCACATCTGCAAGAAGATGTCTGTCAAAGGCGGAGATGCCTTTATGTGTGAAAGGTATCAGCTTGTGTCCAAGTCCTTCTGCCCCATGTCCTGCATGACAGCCTGGGATGATTGCGGGTGACGAAGCACATTCCCTGCAAAGGTCTGAACTGACCACCTCATCTCTCTGCTGGAATCTTGAATTGTGACTTAATAATAAAAACTTACTGGAAAAGTTAAAAACAAAACAAAAACTCCAGCTGGAGCAGTGTATGATCAGAGAATGATCAGAAATTCAAAACTGGATTCAGAGGCTATGGCACAAGGGATGTAACTGCTGATGTCAGGTGGGTCTTGGCTGAAAGGAGAGAATACCAAAAAGATGTTGACATGCATTTCAGTGACTGTACAAATGTGTCCAACTGCGTGTCTCTTAACTATGGATAGTACTGAGAAGCATGGGAATCCGGGAACACTTCATTTCGCTCACACGGAGCCTGAATACATATAAAAGCAGCTGTTGTTTGAACAGAATGTGGGAATATTGCATGGTTTAAAATCCTCAACAGTGTGTGTCAGGGCTGTGTCCTTTCTCTGTACCTATTCTATTTCTGTGCTGAGCAAATCACTTGAGAAGCTGGACTCTATGAAGACAAGTGGCATCAGAATTTTCAGGAATCTGTTACCAACAACCCATGTTATACAGATGATACAGCTTTGCAGAAATTATGCTAAATCCTGAATGACTCACTTTTTGAAAATTCCATGTTCTCATTTATTCTCCCTTATCATCTACTGGGAAAATTTTGAAGCATTTGATTATAGCCTCCATATTTTAACAGTAAAATTCTCCATTTTTCTCTCTCTACCAAATTCTGGGTGATTTTCTTAAATCTGTGTTTGAATTTTTCAATTCTGCCTGATGTTACGTTAAACCTGAGGTTTTGTTTCAATTACTATATTCTTTATCTTTACAAGGTCTATTTCTTAAAATTCTCTACGGGAAAGAACTCCTCTCCTGGCTTACGTTATGACTTCTCTTTTCAAACATGTTAAGCATCCTTCCTCCTCACTGCCACTGAGCTGCTTCTGACTCAAAGTGACCCTCCACTGGGTTTCTGAGGCTGTTAATCACAACAGGAGGAGATGGACCATCTTTAACCTATGGAGCTGCTGGTGGATTCGAACCGCAGTCTTCAGGTTAGCAGTGCAACCCTCTATGGACTATGCCACCAAAGCTCCCTGTATTAAGCATGATATAGTTAAATGCCATCAAGACAACTCGCAGTGACCAACAGATCTAAGCCGAGCTCTATCCTGTGGTATCCTGTGAGCACCATCACCTTGTGGCAGTCACTGTCAATCCGTCTTGTTGAAGAACTTCCTCTCTGCTGACCCTCTGCCTTTCTCAGGATGTTTTCTCTCTTTCTCTCTCTCAGGACTGGTTCTTCTTGAAATTATGCCCAAAATAAGAGAGAATTTTCGCCATTCTTGCCTCTGAGTAGTACTCTGGCTGCCCTTCCTTCAAGACAGATTTGCTTCTTTTTTTGGCAGTCCTTGGGATATTCAGTACTTTTCACCAGCACCGCAGTCCAAAGGCATCAATTCCATCTTCCTATTCACTGTCCAACTTTCAGGTACATAGGAAGTAACTGAATAGACCATGGCTTGGATCAGGCATATGTACATTTTAAGCATGCTCACCTTAAAGTCTCTTTCAGATTGTTCGATTACTACTAGTTCCTGGTGGCACACTGCTGTCTCTACCTTATTATTGTGTCACCAGCTTCCTCCTCTTGGTACAAGGAGGGGAGAAGAAAGGTTCCGTTTCAGTTAAAACAAAATCACCCCAAGAGAGAGAAGCGTTCGTTTCCATAGACAGTGGCCCCCTGGGGGCTTGCCCTGCCATACTCCAGTGTGCTCCAACATCTCTGATTGCTATCAGGGACTCGGGACCTGCCGCGCTCTGTCCCCAGGCTCATGAGTTCTCCATGATGCCCTTTAGCTCTGAACGAGTGGTAAATTAGTCTAATAATTTTCCAGCATATTCATATGTGTAACCTTAGAAAAATATTCATCAATCTTTCCTTGAAAAAAAGATATCTTCTTTATTTAGAAGGCGGAAAGGATGAAGTAGAATAAGTATTTTAAAATCCCAAACACATGGTTTCTTAAAAACAAATAGTTTAATTTCATTTTAATCTGGAAAATAACAAGTTTAAAATGAAATGAGAAGCACTTTAAAATGTCATCAGGTATCATTTCTAATGATATTACACTTATACAAGATGTGAAGATATGGAACTTTTATAAATTTCTGGAACGAAAAACTCCCACTGCAAATAAAAATAGGTTGGTTAGGTTAATTTAGTAAATATTCCATTTTTGTTCTTTGTTTTCATAGGGAATATATAGAAACACTGTATAAAATAAGGCAGACTTTTACAAATTCAACGATAAAATTCTAGGAACAAAGTCTTGACTTTTCTTTGCAAACCAAGAGTATCATTTCCCTTTGGGGAGTCTCTTGCAAAGCTCATCAGATGTCTGTCCCAGCTTCTGAGCTCCAGTTCCTACAGAGCAGACACCATTTTCTTTATCCTCACAAGAATAAGACTCAGCAGAACAGTTTTCCTAATTAGCATTGATCAAGAAAGAGTTTAACATATACAAATTATTTCTATAGTCCAATAAAAAGGAGTCATTCTGTAATATTTAAATTTGCATTATGAAAAGTCTGTACACCAGGTAATGTATATTTAATGAATATGAATCATGTAAATTTGGTCACAGCATTTAAAGTTGGCTTTGGCTTTGAAGTATTTTTAAATTCATAGAAAATATTGAGCTTCTACTAAAATAAATAGAACATTTTAATAATTGTTAATAATCAACATCAAAATTTTTGCTAATCACTTTTAAGAGAAGTCACTTTCAGTAGTGTTCCAAAATGAGTCTATGAGGAGAAAAACTTGCTAAAGATCCGATTGCCATTAGTTTTTCCTAAGTGCTGAACATAATGGAGAAACTGTAGTAAGACATTGTGTCACTCGCAGGAATCCCATCCTGTCCTTCAGACACTCTGCCTGGCCTCCTAGCATAGGGCTGCTGTGGATGTTTCTCACATTGACTTTGTGAAGCGTCCCTGCAGGGGGCCGAACCACAGCAGCAAAAAGGCTCACTTTCTGGCAGTGGTGGCCTGGGCCTGTGGCTGTAGAAGGTACCGATGTCCCATGGCTCGTGGGCTTTCTCACAGGCCCTGCAGACCTCGGACGGCTCTGTCTAATACTGAAAGGATCCAGGAGCTCTGGCTGCCCTCAGGTTTGTCTAAACGACCGAAAGAACAAAGCTTCAGAGCTGCAGGTAGTGTCCAGCTACTGGGGGGGCGGTCGGAGGCTGCAAAGCTTCATCTCATCCAGGCCTTTCCAGTACTTGAAGTTGTTGTCGAGGTGCTGCATTAGATCCGGCAGGTCGACAAAGGCTGGGGGAAAAGATGGGAAGGTAACAGTCATTCAGGGCGCTGGTCAGAGGTGTAGGCGTCCTAACAAGGGTGGTTTAAGGACTCCACAGGGAGGTTCTCCTCTGTTCTACGGGGACGGTGCGGGGGGAAGTTTGCAATGAAGTGAGATGGACCCAACAGCTGCGGGTTCTGGTTCCTCCATAGACCCGCTCAGACACCCTCTAACTACAGCTGTGACACACGGGACAGCTCACGCTGATCAACAATTACTGAAGTGGAATCTGTATTCAGTGCCTGCATTTATCTATCAACTCACTGAACTGGAACTTTGGAAGAGAGAATAGGAAGTAGCTAAACTGTTTCATAGCACAATGATTAAACACCACATGATGGTTAAATTTCCTGTGGAAAAGTCAGCAGTTCAAAGCCATCTGTGGCTCTGAGGAAGAAAAGGCTGTAAATACAGCCTTCAAAACACCAGGTGCTGTTGAGTACAACTCCTAGAGAGCCTGTGAACACACTGGAGCCTGTCCTGCCTATGCCAGCCTCACCATCTCTGATACACTCGAGCCCTATAGTCACATGTCAATCCACCTTGATAAGGGTCTTCCTCTCTCACCGTTCCTCCACCTTTCCAGGCCCCATGTGAACCAGCAGGCAGTCATGCTGTTGGGGTAGCCATCTTGTTGGTCACAAGAAAAACACTCTGCTTAATGACCATTTCACCAGGCACTTTGGGCCTGGGGCATCAGAATCTAGGAGCAAACGCAGGGAGCCTGCCCTCCGTGCCAGTGTCCCATCCTGACCGGCTCTTCTTTGGCTTTGCGCTTTATCACATGTATGTTACAGATTGAATTCGTCAACCATAAAAGATAGACTGACCTTTTAACTACCTGTAAATATGATCTTATTTGGAAAGAAAGTTATCTGCTATCAGTTAAGGCCATGAGGTCACCAGGAGTTGAGCAGGTCAAAATCCTCTTATTAAAGGACAGGAGAGACACGGGAACGGACCCATGGGGACAACGCCGTGTGACGATGCATGTACAGGCTGAACAGGGCTAAGGAGAGTCTGGGACTACTGAGCCTACAAGATGAAGATGCTGATGCTGCACTTCCAGCTGCCATACCCGGGAGAGGACCATTTTCTGTTCTTTACAGCTCCTGTCAGCCCTGGTAGACCAAGATTATGGCATCTCCTTCCGCCAGCACAACACCCCCGAACTGGGTGGTGACCATGTCACACAGGACGAGAATGAGGTCTCAGTGCCACAGGCTGCACCTGCAGAGCTGTGGTGTGCCCAAAGCCACAGCTCTTTCCAGGCCCTCCCCCCAGATGTGTGCTAGTGTCCTCCTGACTGGATGGAACCGAGTCCCTGGCCTGCACATGCCCTGCAGTCCCTCCCCTCCCCTGAAGCAGGGGTCTCACCAGGCTCTGTCCTAGGTCCCTCATCTTAATTGCTTAGTGGCTCCTGCGTCCCCACCTGAGGGAGAGTGATGTGCTTCCTTTGGGGAGACTGCTCTGTCTTCAGGCCTGGCAGAAGCTGAGGTGGCAGATGATCCCAGGCCTCACGCTCTGGTGGAAACACTGGGGTTTTGGGACTAAGCCCTTCACCAAACTAGAGGCCACGGGGCTGAATGACTCTGGGCGACCCCATGGGTGTCAGCAGAAAACTGAGTGCCACAGGGACGTCAGGGGGTCCCCAGGCTTTGGTTCCCAGGTGCCTCTGGATGGACTTGGGCCTAGAGGCCGAGTGTGTTAACTGCACCACAGGGGCTTCTGCAGTAAGTACCAGTGGTCTGCACCCCAGATTAAGTCCTAATAGCTGTGTGATCTCGGGTTCAGTCTCCTCATTTACAAAACGGGCCTACTGACCCATTTATTTCCAGTGAGGTTAATGAATAAACGCACAAAGGTTATTCCTCAGGGGCTCTTATTTCTTCTTCTTGTTGCCCTTTAAAGGCCCAAGTCCCAAAACGATTCTGCATTATCATTCCTATTATACATGGCGCACACTCTATTATCATCCCTTCATTTAGAAAATTACCCACATGATCACTGGGACAACAAGTATGGCAAGTCCTTCTGTATTTTGAGGCAGTTCTGACAACTTCCCAGGAGAAACAATAGTTCTGGAATGTTAAAGGCCAGCACTATCAAACAGCAGCCTGCTCCCACCTCCCGGGAAGGTGGCAGGGGAATATGTATTTTAAATCTTGATCTCCAATTCTTGTTCCCCAAATGACCTAGGCCGTTTAGTTTCAGAAATTCTGCCCAGGAATCTTCCCAGCAAGCTCGGAGAGGAGGTGACATTGCCAATGGTGAGGTTTTTCAGGATCAGGGGTGAGGAGATTTCTTACCATCCCAAGAGTCAAACATGTCTGTGATGAAGTAGTCGATGAAAGAGATCTGGGACTTGGGAATGCTACAGGTGTTTCTGTCAAAGACCGGCATCACCACGGGTAAGCCCTGCCGCTTCTCTTCATCAGTCTGCAAGGCAGAAAAATGTCAATGACGAGGCCCTCCCCCCCCCCAAATGGAAGTAGTCTGTCTACCAGAAACTCCCTGCTGATGGCTTGTGGTGAGATGTCAATCACAGCAGTAGCGAATGAAACCCAGACCAGCTACTGAGTTCTCAGAACAGGATGACTACTTCCTACGAGGGAGCTTGAGCACAGCCCAACAGAAATATTTTCACACGGGTCAACCTCCTTTGTGACACTATTCAGGGAAGATCCCAGAAAGGATCTGTTGATGGCTGAGCATGCTAGTTGGCTACCTGTGTGGAAACCTCTATGTGGTACTAAGTTCTGCATTGTCCTGCAAAGTTCTAATCGGAACTAGTCTTGGTTGGGGGTTTGTGACACTCTCTGGGAGTGGGGCTTTTCCTGTGCTTGGGGCACACAACTCACATGTTTAAGCAGTGCTGTTCATACTGGGGCTCACCAGTCGGTTTTCAAACTCTTTCCAAAGGATAAGCCTTATTTTTAAACAATCTTTTTCTTTTCCCTCAATATAACGAAAATGTCACACAAGAAAAGAACCATACACTGTGAAAATCTCTGTACCCCCCCACATATTCAACTGTAACATAGTTTCCCCTCGTAAATTTAAAAGTAAGCTGCAGACTTAAGTACACTTCACCCCTAAACAATTCAGCATATATATATATAATGAACTAGATTTCAGTATTTGTTTACTGTTCTGTTTGGTATAATTTACATAAAGTCATATATGTTAAACATACCATTTGGGAAATGGTTCTCTCTCCATTTAAAAACACTTAAAAAAAATTAACAGTACGACTTCCAGAGCTGTGCTTTAGTTCAGATGCCGGGGCTTGCCTCAGGTGCTCCTGATGTACAAATCTTGGACATTCTCCCAATTCTTTAGCAGGGAAACCACAAAGCTGACAGCCAAGTGGATGGTGTAGACAAGTCTGTCATCATCACATGGCCAATGCCAGAAACACAACACCTTCTTCATCTGGAACCTGATGGTGCACTTCACCTCCTCTACTTTTGCCAGGGGCTCTGGTGGCCCAATAGTCAGGAGCCGCACTGCCAACCCAGGGCAGGCGGCTTAAGTGGACCAGCTGCTCTTTGGGAGGAAGATGGACAGTCTTCTTCTGCGTGATTTACTGCCTCTGAAAGCCTGCTGGAGGGTCAGCTCCGAGTTGGTTCTGACTTGACAGTACACAACAACTTCTGTCCTGTGTTCTCAGGGTAAGTAAGCAGGGAAGGGCACCTGCCATCTTTATGGAGTCCTGGACCCAGGATTCACGTGATCTGCTTGATCAGGAACTCAAAAGACCATAAAGGCATCGCACTCGCTGGCTAGCTGTCTGATTAGCTTGTTCTTGCAGAGTTCTTCAGTGCTTCCATGTCCATCTAAGGGACAGCCTTGGCTTCATCAGAGTCTCCATTTTCCCCCTTTAACTTTCCAGCAGTGTCCTATGGTTTTGGGGGTCAAGGAACTGCTGTATTAATCTACTAGGTGGTGTTTACATCCCATCAAGTTGGAAGCGACTCACAGCTGCCGCTCCAGCTGGCTGTCAGAGGCAGGTCATCACATGAGAAGAAACCGTCCATCTTCCTCCAGAGGAGCAGCTGGGGGATTTGAATGCCGTGCTTCTGAGGTAGCAGTGCGGCTCCTTACCACTAGGCCATCAGAGCTGCTGGCAAAAGGAGATTAGGTGAAGTCCACCATCAGGTTCCAGATGAAGAAGGAGGGCAGTCTCCTCCCAAGCAATTTACTGCCTCTGGAAACCTGCCGGAGGGTCATTCTGACTTGATGGTAGACAACAACATTTAAAAACTGATTTTTTAGATGTTAAACCCCCCTTGCATTCTTGGGCAGAGGCGCTGGTGACCTAATCCACTGGAGGTCCACTACAAGGAGAAAGATGGGCAATCTCCTGTGTGATTTTCAGCACTGAAACCCAAGGGAGGTCTAGCTGAGTCAGTTTCCACTTGATGACAATGAGGGAGTGCAAGGCTGTGAAAAAAATATTCTCTTTACATATGTTCACTTGTAGATTTTTTGCATATATTAACAAAGAATGGCTGTTAATTTCCCCCAAATACTGTCTTTGTCTAATATTAGAGTAATAATAGCCTTGTTAAATGAGGTGCGAACTGAAAGTTTGGTGGTTTGAACCCATCAGCTGTTTCAAGAGCAAAAGATGTGGCAGTATGCTTCTGTAAAGAAATTCTGTGGGGAAGATCTACTGTGTTCCATGAGATGGCGGTGAGCCACAGTCAGCGTGATGGCAGTGAGTGTGGTTTGAAAAGCTGTTCATGATTTTTTACTATTGTTGCTAGGTATTGTCAAGTCAGAACCGACTCACAGACAGTCTTCCAGCAGGTTTTCAGAAACAGTAAACTGAAAGAGAGGAGACTGCCCATCTTTCTCTTGGAGAACCCTGGTGGACTCAAACTGTAGGCTTTTGAGTTGATAACACATCTCTTTACCACTAATCTGTGTTTGGGGTTTTTAAATTTTTTTTTTATTATACTTAACATAGCCTGCTCTATTCTGGATTATATATGCTGTATATTGTTTTCAGAGTCAATGTCAAACTTCCTGTGGACTTGATTTCATTTTCCTCAGCTGCAGCTTGAACTTGCATATGAATAGTTGGTTATGTGTTTCACAATCAGCACCTGGCCTAGTTTTCACAGCTGATATTGAGCTTCTCCAGTGATTCTTTCCACAGATGTAACCCATCTGATTCCTATGCATACATCAGGTGAAATCCATGTGTATGTATAGCCTGCGTTTATGTTTCTTATAAAATGTATTTGCAATGACTAAGTCGTTGATTGTGCAAAATTCTATCATTCTAATTCCAGCTTCATTTCTGTCACCAAGTCCATGTTTTCCTACTACTGATCCTTCTTCTCTGTTCCCAACTTTTATATTCTATTGCCAACTTTTGCATTCTAGTAACTTCTTCTTCCTCCTCCTCCTCCTCCCCCTCCCCCTCCTCTATTAATAGAAGATGTCTACAAACTTTTGCAGTCAGAGGTTGTAAAAGTTTGTAGAAATCTCCTATTTCCTCCTCTGCCTCTGGTTGTTGGTGCATATATTTCAATGATGGTGGTATTCTTTGATATCACATGCAGTCAAGATTCTGCTGAAGATTATCCAAAAACAACTAGACAGCGCATCAACAGAGAACTACCAGAAGTGCAGGCTGGGTTTAGAAGTGGACATGGTACTTAAGATATTACAGCTAATGTTAGATGGATCTTGGCTCAAAGCAGAGAGTACCAGAGGAATGTCTGTCTGTGTTTCATTGACTATGCAAAGGCATTTGACTATGAAGATCACAATAAATCGTGGCTGACTCAGAGAAGAATGGGAATCCCAGAACACTTGACTGTGCTTATGTGAAACCTATACTTGGACCAAGAGGCAGCCATCAGAACAGAGCAAGGAAATACTGCATGGTTCAAAATTGGGAAGGGTGTGCACCAAGGATGTGTCCCATCTCCGTATCTTTTCACTCTATATGCAGAACAAATTATCTGGGAGGCTGGGCTCTATGAGGAGAAGTGTGGCATCAGGATTGGAGGTAGACTCATCAACAATCTGTGTTATGCAGTTGACATAATCCTGCTTGCTGAAACTGAGGACGACCTGAAGCACTTGCTGCAGAAGTTCAAGGACTGCAGCCTTCAATATGGATTGAAGCTCAATATCAAGAAAACAAAAATTCTCAACTCTGGGCCAACTGGCAGCATCATGATGGATGGTGAGGAGATTGAGATTGTCAACAGCTTCAGTTTGTTTGGCTCTACAATCAACACTCTTTTACCAGCAGCCAGGAAATTAAAAGACAAATTGCATTGGTAAAGTCTGCTGTCAGAGACCTCTCCAAAGTACTGAAGAGCAACAATGTCAGTCTGGAGACTAAAGTGCTCCTGATACAGGCCATGATCTTTGCATTACTTGCTATGCATCAGAGAGCTGGACAATGACTAGGGATGACAGAAGGATAATTGATGCCTTTTTAAAAAAAAAATTTTTTTTTGTTATTTTGTGTGTGTGTGTACCATTAGATCAGATCTGACTGGTACAGGAGGAGATTGTCCCTCCTTCTCCAGCAGAGTATCTGGTGGTGTTGAACCACGTGCTTCTGGGACTGCAGTGCAGCTTCTTGCCACTAGGCCACCAGAGTTCCCAGAGAATTGATGCCTTTGAGCTGTGGTGCTGGAGAGGTGGTTGTTGTTGTTATGTGCCAT